AGGTGAAGAGTGGGCTAGGAATAATAACTCCAGCCATTTTTAAAGTTGCAAGCTGCATTACATGGCAGATACTATGCAAAGCCCTTGGGGTGCTTAACCACTGAGCCATATCCCTAGCCCTTTTTTTTTTGTTTTGAGACAGGGTCTTTCTAAGTTGCTTAGGGCCTTGATAAATTGCTGAGGTGAGGCTGGCTTTGAATTTGTGATCTTCCTGCCTCAGCCTCCCAAGCTGCTGGGATTACAGGCACGTGCCACTGCACATGGCAACTATTACAATTTTTAAATGATGTTACAGAAACTTAGAAAGTATAAGTAACTTACCCAAAGTTGGAAGGCATCAGAATGGCTTGAGAAGGTTTCAAAACCAGGTCTGTCAAACTTTCAAACTATGCTGTTAACTGCTTCACTATGTTGCCCCCTATGGTCACCTCAGGGTACTAACATGAATGAGGCCTGTCTTTCTGGCCCTGACATCTTTTACTGTAACCGGAGAAGCTCACCTTTCATTCAGAATGCCTGATGCTGATAGGCTCTGTATACTGCTTTATACAATTTCTCTCCTGGGCCTCCTGCACCCCATTCCAAGGTTTCTGTGCCTCTCTCTCTCACTTTACTGCTTTCCCAGGTAGCCTCTAAGGTCAGGGAAATAGCCTTGGGGAGGAGTTATGAATAGGTGAGATGGGACTCCAGGCCACATGGCACACTGGGCTTGTGAGGCATGATGTCTGCCCGGATTTCTTGTACCTGGCCCTATTGTGTTCATATAAAGTCAACTTAAGAAGCCCAGATCTCTCAGAAAACTGGCTCTCCCCAAAGGACCTCTGAGCAGCAGCTGCAACTTCTTCTTGGTTTCGTTTGTTTTGGTTTTGGTGTTGGGGATCGAATCCAGAGCCCCATGCATTCAAGGCAAGCACTCTACAAAACTGAGCTATATCCCCAGCCCTTCATAGTTTCATTTGCAAACATCCCATCTCTGAACTTTTTTTTTTTTTTGCTGCTTGTTGAATCCAGGGCCTTGCATGTTAGGCAAGTGCTCTATCATAGACTGAGCTATAACTCCAGCTCCTGGCCTTTTATTTTCACCATCTTGAAAGTCCTAATACCAACCAAAACTTGAACCTATTAATCATATACCACCATTTTCATTGGACATCATACCTCCCTTACCTTGCCCCCCACCCCTAATCCTATCTTTTCCTCCTCATGCACTTTAACTTTCATGGTCAGTCATTGTAATTGCTCCCTTGACACTACCTTCAATTTCTTTTTAGAATTAGGTTTAGGGTTAGTTACTCATTTTGTAACTCACAGTTTGGGTTAAATCCAATTCTCCATCTACTTTGGGTTTGTATCTGTAAGGAGAGCTGGTAAAAAGTACTTGACTATGCCAACTGGGCTCACTTTAAATACCTGTCCTCTAACTTCAAGTGCTTGTTGGGTATCACTCCATTCCCATTGGCCCACCAGGAGTGTGTAGCTCACCATGCTTCCTGAGCCGCTTACCCATGTACTCTCCAGATGGCTTTTCTGTTCTTACTCTCCTGAAACCACCAACTCCACCATGTATCCTCATTCTCAGCTGATAAACCTTAACTCCTACTTCACTGAGAAACAGAAGTAGCAAACAACCCATCTACATTTGGACTATATATTCCATCTTCTCTCTTGCTTTTATAGATAAACTGTCCACACCTGTATACAAGGCCAACCTTTCTGAGTACTAAGATTCCATCCATTTTTCTTGACTATTTAAGGACATGCTTTTGTCTTCTATATTACATACTTGTCTAGTTTATTTTTCCAATCTCCAGCAAACATGCTATTTCTACCATTTTATAAAATCCCTCTTCTCCCAGCTACTTCATCCCACTTATCCTTCCAGCATGGCCCTATTTCCCTCCTTCCTTTTTCAGCTAAGTTCTTTTAAAAAGATGTCTCCAGAGTTCTTTCCTCCCTCTCTTACAGTCACAATTTAGGATAATGTATCTTAAGGAGACATTCCATCCAATTTTCTTTTTGGTACTGGGGATTTAACCCAGGTGTGTTTACCACTGAGCTACATTCTCAGCCTTTTTTAATTTTTGAGACAGGGTTGGAGTTGCTGAGGCTGGTCTTTAATTTGCTATCTTGCCTTGGCCTCCAGAGCTGCTAGGATTACAGGTGTGCTCCACCATGCCTCCCTTTTATTTTTTAGTTGTAGTTGGACACAATAGCTTTATTTTATTTATTTTTATGTGGTGCTGAGGATCGAACCCAGGGCTAGGCGAGCGCTCTAGAGCTGAGCCTCAACCCCAGCTCCCACACCTGTCCTTTTAAAAATACTTTTATTTATTTTTTACATACATGACAATAGTGGAAAAATCTTTTTTAGTTGTAAATCGACACAATACTTTTATTTATTTTTATGTGGTTCTGAGGATCGAACCCAGTGCCTCACACATGCTAGGCAAGTGCTCTATCACTGAGTCAGAACCATAGCGCCTGGCTTTTTTGTTGTTTTTGACAGGGTCATAAGGTTTCTGAGGCTGGCCTTGAATTTGCCATTCTGTTGCTTCAGCTTTCCAGGTTGTTGGGATTACAGACAACATTACCATGCCAGCTTCATTATATACTTTCAAAAACTTCTTCAAAAAAAGGAAAGCAAGCTGGATATAGTGTTACATAACTGTAATCCTAGTGTTTCAGGAGGCAGAGACAGGTGGATGGCAGAGTTCAAAGACAGCCTCAGCAAAAGCGAGGTACTAAGCAACATCAGTGAGACCCTGTCTCTACTTAAATACAAAACAGGGCTGGGGATGTGGCTCAGTGCCCCTGGGTTCAACCCCTTGTATCTCCCCCCCACCAAAACAAAAAAAAAAAAAAGGAAAGCAAGATGAAAGTGTGCTAAATATATTTGAAAGTAGTTATGCATTTGCCTTCTAGGTAGCTGGGGACTTATTTTCACTATAGATAGCTTCACATCTCTTGCATTTTGTGCCTTCTGAGTTACCCTCTGTCACCCTTATTTGTCCCCACCTTATTTGTCCCCCCTATTTGGGGGGATTGAAGACGGGGCCTAGCATATTAGGCAAGTGCTCCCATACTGAATGTTCCCTAACCCCTTTTTCCAGCATCTTCCTTAATTGAGCTTGAACTACCCATCAATCATGACTGAAATAGTACCATGTCTTTTTCTCTAGTATAATTGCTTAATATTTTTCAAAGTTAACAGCCAGACATGGTGGTGGTATGTGCCTGTACCTTCAGCACTAGGCTGAAATTTGGTGGGAAATTTGTTCAAAGCCTGATTTGGCAATTCAGCAAAACCCTCATAGTGAAAAGTTAAAACCATTCAGTGGTAGAGTACCCCTAGGTTCAATCCTCAGTATCACAAAAAAAAAAAAAAAGCCAAACCAAACCCCAAAAAACTCAAAAGACCCAAATATTTCTCAAAATATAATTTATAGACCAATTTCAGCAGTCACTTGGATTGCTGTTAAAAATGCAGATTCCTGGACTCTAATCTGAATAATGCTTTGGGGAGGTGTGGCTTTAGGACTGCATTTTGTTCAAATGGTACAAGTGATTCTCATTCATAGATTATTTCATAGGCTGAGCATACTTATTCATCCACAAATGGTAAGCACTGGCTGTACATCAAGCAATGTAACTGACCAACTGGACACTGTCCCTGACTTCATGAGTTCACAGCTCAGTTTCCTAGGGACACTTTCAGGATACCTTTGGTTGTTACTGAGCTACAATCATTTCATTTTTTGAGACAAGGTCTTGCTAAATTACTGAAGCCAGACTCAAACCTGCCATCCTCTAGCCTTAGTCTCCCAAGTCATTGGGATTAGATACATACCTTCCTGGCTAGTTTTAATTTAAAAAGCTATCTAAACTGAGTGTATGGCACACACCTGTAATACCAGTAGTTTGGAAGGCTGAGACAGGAGGATCCCATATTCAAGACCAGTCTCAGCAATTTAGCTGGGTTTTTAAAAAAAATTTTTTTTTAGTTATACATGGACACAATATTTTTTTTTTAAAATATTTTTTAGTTTTAGGTGGACAAAATACCTTTATTTTGAGGATCGAATGCTCCACGCATTCCAAGTGAGCGTGCTACTGCTTTAGCCACATCCCCAGCACAACACAATCTTTGTTTACTTTTTTTTATGTGGTGCTGAGGATAGAACCCAGGATCTCTCCCATGTGAGGTGAGCGTTCTACCACTGAGCCACAACCCCAGCCCTTTAAAAAAATTTGTATGTAGTACTGAGGATTTAACCTATAGATCGCTACCATTGCGCTACACCCCCAACCATTTTTTCTTGGTGTGTGTAGTGCTGGGGACTGAACCCAGGGCTTTGTGCATGTAAGGCAAGCACCCCCAACCAATTGAGACAGGCCATGTTGGCCTGAAATTGTTATCGACCTCAGCTTCCCAAATCACTGAAATTAACAGTGAAATTAATCACTGAATTAATCACAGAATTGATCACCACCATGCCTGGTGATTTTTCACAAGTTTCTTTGAAGCTATTTGTCATAAGTTTCCAAATAAATAGTCCCCCCACTAGGGATTATTAACATCTGTTCCTCCCCCCCCCAGTTCTGGGAATTTGAACCCAGGGACACTCTAGTGTTAAGCTCCACATAGATTTTTTATTCTGAGACAGGGTTCACGAAATCACTGAAATCAGCCTTCTAGATAGGCATCGAAGAATCAAACCAAACCTAGGGCCTTATACATGCTAAACTCCCAGCTGCTTCCTCAATTTTAGGGTGCCAACTTAAACTTGTACAGGCTGAATTAACCTAATATTCATATATATATAAAAAAAAATCTAACATGGTTTAAACCTCCATGTTCCACACAGCTATGCAAAATTATCAAGACCAAGTACTCAATACAAAAGAATTAAAAATTAAGGTTCCCTATGAAAACTGTGGTACTTGAATTCACAGCATAAACACACATACACAAAGCCTACAGATACACTCAACATGCAATATGAATTATAATTTCCATTTTATTTTTTTCCAGAAGATAGATTTTCTTCACTCATTAAGGATGCAGTTCCTTACATGGGCTTTGGTGGAGGTCGTGGGGCAGCACCCTGAAAGGGGGGGAAAAAAAAAAACAATCAATCAAAAACCATGAATCTGGTGGCACACACTTGTAATCCCAGTGGCTGGGGAGGCTGAGGCAGGAGGATTGCAAGTTCAAAGCCAGCCTCAGCAAATGGCAAGGTGCCAAGCAACTCTGAGACCCTGTCTCTAAATAAAATACAAAATGGGGCTGGGGATATGGTTCAGTGGCCAAGTGCCCCTGAGCTCAATCCCCGGCACCCCCAACCCTGCAAAAAAAAAAAAAAAAAAAAAAAACACACAAAACAAACAAACCAACCAAAAAAACCCAAAAACATGGATCTGAAATTAGAATACAGTTCAGTGGCTAAGCACTTGCTTACCATGTACAAGGCCTCAGGTTCCTTCCCCAGAACAAAAACATAACAACAAAACAATGACAACAATAACCAAAACCCCCACATAAACAGTTGGTAAATATGGAAGGAGAATACACTATTCAACCCAAAAAACTCCTAAGAAGTATCTATGCCCTTTTATGAGTTTTAGGTGTGGGTCCCACCTGCCCTACCACAAAAAGATCTTAATTTGATATTTCTCTGGCCCTCACTTATATTTTTATCCATAACTCCTCAAATGTACACATACTTCTTTTAAAATACTCACAGCAGGTCTAAAACGAGGTGGGGGTGTCCGGTCCTTCCGGGCTTCACGAGATCGATTCCTGACTACCTTGCTGTGAATGGCACAACTCACACAGTAATGCAGCTTCACATACAGCTTGGGAAGCACATAAGCTGACAATAGGGGAGGAGGGAAAAACATTATTAGGTATCATATACCCACCTTATATTATTCTTTCTTGTTCATTCTATCAGTCAATACCCACCTTATATTATTCTTTCTTGTTCATTCTATCAGTCAAAACTAAACCTATAGTCAAGCATGGTGGCCTACACCTGTAACCCCAGCAACTTGGAAGCCTAAGGCAGGAGGATCACAAGTTCACTGGAGATTTAGCTCTGTGGTGGAGTACCCCAGGTTAAATCCACAGTACTAAACAAAGCAAAACAAGTATCAAAGCATATGTCAGACACATCCATGAAACTTTGTTACTTCCAAAACTGTTCAGCTCTGACACCTAAAAGCATAACTGTCAGTTTCACAAATGAATAACAATATCCCCTCCAAACCCATCTTGACACCATGGGAACCAAAATCACATCCTGTTTACAAGTAATAAACCCAGAGTCCAGTTCCTTCAACAGCTTTATCAGTTCTAAAGCTGGCCCCCTTCTTGTTGCCTAAGAAAGTAATTTGAGAAAAAAAAGTTACATCACTATAAAAACTAGTCTTCTTTCATCCCATTCCCTACTCCCCTATACCGATGAGCTAAATCCCCAGCCTTTTTAAAAAATCTGAAAATTACCCAAACTGGTCATTAACTTAGCCTCCTCTTGCCTCTGTCCTCGGGGTCGCTTGGAGGCCAGGACCACCCCACCTAGCCTGCTTCCATTCTTTAAATAAATCTTCGTGAAACTCTGACTCATTTGTACTTTTCTACAAGCATTTAGATGCTCTTCGCTAATTTAAAAATTGTTACGTTCACTAGGTTTGTCTACAGAAGAGTTTCTGGAAATACAGGCAGTCACATGATGTAAACCTCGGAGTAAAGCTAGGGCACTATCACAAAAAGGCATACTATGCTTCAAGCCAAAAACGAGAACAAATATACCATTCTCTTTTACCAACAACCTTAAAGAAATTGTCTAGAATACTCCAGAAATGCGCCAACAGAGTCTGCAAAAGCGCGAGGTCGGGGGATAAGTTCAGGTACTAGACCCTTACACAATTAGCTCCAGTGGCTCACTTACCGTCGAAAACACTTGCTTCGGAAATGTCCCTGACGGCTGCGGCCTCCACGATGTTTCGAATGACGAACTTCTTAATGGCCTTGTCCTTGGGCACACACCTGGCACAGTTCGTGCAACGAATAGGCTGCACATGCCCGCGGCCCTTTTTCGCACGACCATTATTCCTTCTTTTTTTGGTCTGTATCAGGAAAGAGATCCCATTAGGAATTAAGAGGGTGGAACTCAACCAGAGTCAGCCATCTACGGGTTCCATTTCGTGCCGGCAGCCTAAAAAGGCGCCACTCAGGTTTCTCGAATTTCTAAATCCAAAATCACACGTCTCTCCTCCACCATGGCACTGGCTCTCAATTCCCCACAAACCCCAAATCTGCTCCTTTCAGCCTCCACCCGGAATCCCACGCTCACCACGCGCCAGAACTCACCATCTTGGAAGCGAGGACCCGAGAGAGGACGTGACATCCGGCCGGACCTCTTATATAGCGCAAGATCCCTACGCTCACGTGGGGAAAACCCGTAGTATCAAGAACGGAAAACCACTTCCAAAAATTTCTTGATTACTTAGCGTTTCCAAAGAAACCCAGAGGAGACAGAGGTTCCTAGGGTTTATTTATGCATGGAACAAGTTACCTTTGGGACTACTTAGCCTGCTGGCGGAAGAAAATTAGTGTTATAGGTTTCGCGAGAAACATCGCGACACCGTAGGCCGGAAGTTGTAAATTTGCGTCATGCGTCGCTAAGATCAACTTCCTCCCGGTGCTAGGCCCTAAAACGCTCTTCCAATTAGAGGGCAGAGGAGGAGAGATGTGTGTTGGAAATTGTAGTACAAAGCTCAGAGGTCTCGGCCCCACGTCCTTAGGCCGCAAGTGTCGCTGCACGCGTTTCTTTTTTCTTGTTGTTCTTCTTTTTTATTGGCACGGTCATTTAACCCAGGGGTGCTTTGCTGAGCCACCTCACCATCCCTTTTTTAAAATTTTGAGATAGGGTCTTACTAAGTTGATTAGGGCCTCGCTAAAGTGCTGAGGCTAGCTTCAAATTTGGAATTCTCCTGCCTCAAGCTCCCGAATGTCTGGGATTACAGGTTTGTGTCACCAGTCCCGGCCCCTCATATTTCTTTTCTCTGTCCTGCCACAAGACATAGAATTACGAAGTGGAAGACCTTAAAGGAAACAACATTTTGTGAATAAAAAGACCGAAATGCGAGACAATGAACTAGAACATTTGTGCTGAAACTGTTTCTTTTTTGATACTTGGGATTGAACCCAGGGGCACTTAAACACTGAGCCACATCCCCAATCCTTTTTATATTTTATTTAGAGACATGTCTAACTGAGTTGTTTAGGGCCTCGCTAAATTGCCAAAACTGGCTTTGAACTCAGGATTCTCCTGCCTCAGCCTCTCTAGGGATTATAGGTGTGCTTCGCTGCACCCGATCTAGAACTGTTTCTTATCCGCCCTTTTAATCCTTGGGTCTTTTTAGCACAGTGCCATGAATTGTAGTAGCTCTTTGTAAATATTAACCCATTTAACCTCAATAAGTCTATAAGTTAGGCACTATTATTATCATCACTTTAAAGTTCGAAAATTTGAAGTGCAAAATGACTAGACAACTTGTTCAGAATACACAGAGCTAGTAAGAGGTGTATTGGTGCCACTGTATTATGCTGTCTCTCAACTAGCAAACAAATGAGTGCAGGTAAAGGGTGGGTCAGAGATTTTTCATATTTTTGACCCGGACACATGGCAGAAATGCATTTCTCATTGGTACCCAAACATAAATCCAAATATACACATATACAAGCCTCATGAAATAACACCCTTATGACATAAGGCGCACTGGTATGTTTTGTTCTCTATTTTATTTTAATAAATGCTGACCAAGACCTACAAAGGTGATTTCGCTATTCCTTGGTGTAGTTCAATGGTAGAGTGCTTGCCTAGCATTCTGGAGGCCCTGGGTTGGATGCCCAGCATAGCAACAACAAAAACAAAAGGCTGAAACAGGAAGATAACAGCTTGTAGATCAACCTGGGCAATATAGTGAGACCCTGTCTCAAAATAAAATTGTGGTAATGGGGTGGGGAGCTGGGGTTGTAGTTCAGTGGTGGAGTGCCTGCCTGGTATGTGTGAGGCGCTGGGTTCATTCCTCAGCACCTCATATAAATAAATTTTTAAAAATAAAGGTATTATGCATGCCTGTAATTCCAACACCTTGGGAGGCTGAGGCAGGAGGAGGATTGCAAGTTCAAAGCCAGCCTCAGCAATTTAGGGAGGCCCTAAGCAACTTGGAGAGACCCTGTTTTAAAATAAAACACAAAAAGGGCTGGGGATGTGGCTCAGTGGTTGAGAGCCACTGGGTTCAAACCCTGGTACAAAAAAAAAAAAAAAAGAGAAGGGGACCTGCTGGGGATGTTTTCAGGGGTAAAGTGCCCCTGGGTTGGATCTCCATTACTACAAATAAATAAATAAATAATAAAAATCCACACCTCCTTCCCTCACACATTTTCAGCTCCCTTTGAAGAGCCATCAGAAGGCTTGCGCCTTGAGCAGGAGAGGCTATCCTGCAACCACCTAGTAGCTCCAAAGTTAAGGACACTCTTAGAATACAGGCCACTTGAAAAACTGCTCTAGAGCATGATTTGTGAACTGGTGGCAAGTGAGCCTCCTTGGGTGGCATTTGAGCCCAAGATGGAATAGATAGAAACCAAACATTTATTCATATGTCATTCTAAATTCTGAACACAGCAGATTCACTCTCTCTCCAACAACATTTCATTTAACCTTAACCCACTTTATTGGGGCTAAAATCTATTTTCTAATTTTTGGTTTTAGGCGGAAGCAACTATATACATTTTTTCTTTTAACTTTGAATATGTTATTTTCAATGAGACATAGTAAATAATCGATTTTAGATAGGAGTGTCTCCAATTTTTACTTCATTGTAGTATCATAGCAGTGAGATAGATCAGAGTAAAAACAAGTTTAGAATGAAAGGTATAGAAAATAGTTAACACTTAAGACATAATGAAGTTGATTTTTCTACTTTGTTTTTCTTTGGGTTTTTGTTGCCTGAAGGTTTCACTGTCATAAAGGCATAGGCAGGCTTTAGACTTACATATTTTTGGGTTCAAATGCTGCCTTTTACTTATTGGCTGATTAGCTTTGAACAAATTATTTTAATCTCTCTTTGTCTTTTATTTTTCACCAATAATTGTGATTATTCTTATGCAGGTATTTCTCCAGTTAAATAAAGACTTGGACCGGGTATGGTGGCACATGCCTGTAATCCCAGTAGCTCAAAAGGCTGAGACAGAAGGATTACAAATTCGAGATCAGCCTCAGCAACTTAGTGAGGACCTAAGCAATTTGGTGAGACTGTGTCTCAAAATAAAAAATAAAAAGGGATGGAGATGTAGCTCAGTGATAAAGTGCCCCTGGGTTCAATACCCAGCACCAGGGGGAAAAAGAAAGATGACTTTGTACAGTGCTTGGGAATTATGAGACGCTGAAGTGGTGGATCCTATCATTATCATCATTCGTGTTATCGTAACTTACATCTCCCTAGGCATGTAATGTGTTTTGCACATAGTAGGTACTCTACAAAGGTTTGATGAATCTCTGCTTTGAATAGATAGGCAAGTCAGATTTTCATATCCTGAAGATACTTATAGGAAAATTTCCTCCACTTCTCATTCTAGGCTGAAATTTTCCCTGTTCTGTAGCAACAACTTGAGCTCTCTGGTCTGATTTACTCTCAATCTTTTTCACCTCCAAAACTGTTTAGTACAGCTTGCTGCAAGGAGATCCCTCCTCCCTCCTAGCAGGAAAGTAAGGCAAAGGAAGTCTGTAAAACAACCAGGGGTGTTAAATTACTCATGTTTATTTATAACAGACCTTCAGCCAGTACAGTACAAAACTTACAGTAGTATATCTCCGTTACACAAATATTTACTTACAATATATTACATATACAAAATGCTTTGCAATAAGTCTCAAAAGCTAGTTTAACTCCCATAGAGAAAGGAGAAAAACTTAAAAAAAGGTGGGGGGCAGAGGAAGAGAGGAGGAAGTGGAGGGGCAAGGGTCAAAGGAAACACCAAATAGGCTACAAAGGAAACCTTGGGAGAGAGGGAGAAGAGAGGTGGTATTGCACTTGCTTCTGTGTTTTTTTTTTTTTTTTTTGTTCTTCATAACTTCTGATTAAAAATATATATATATATGTATATTATGTACACAAGGAAAGAAGCTGCCAGAAGTATTACAAAATCCCACCCGCAGCTTGGACATTGACAGGAAAAAACAAAGTTCTGGAAAAGTGTCTATTTAGAAATTCTTATTTCTTTTTGTGGTGTTGATTTTGAATAGCAATATAAAAGGAAACACCTCTTTACTCCATGTGGGTTTCACCGTGTGGTTTTTGTTCTTTCTTTTTATTTTTTTATGTAAAAGGAGCTGGGAGAGAGCATGAGGATGTTTGAGGTTCCAGAGCTGGAAGGCTCTGAAAAGTAGGATTTTGTACCTAAGACCCTGGTTAAAGTGCAGTGATGGTCTAGAGAGAGACAGGATGCCCCTCTCTCCCCTCCCTAGCACCTGGTCTTGCCCTTCCAGTCTCTGCTCTCATGGGCACAGAGTATAGCCTCAGAGCATAGTCCTTCATGTTCCGGGAGGTTACAGGTGCCAAGGCTGGTTAGGGGAGGGGATGAGGGCACCCTAAGGCTTTGATACCCCAGAAGGGATAAGTCCTTATGAGGTATCATCAAATACACAGCAGACATAGAAGATGTGGGATGGGTAGGTCCAACAGGAAGTGGCTCAATAACCAGAATAGTTCAGGAGAAGCCCAGGTGTTAATCTCAGCTCTGCTGCCATCCTGAACAAGGAGCAAGTACCTAAGGGTGCTGTTGAGAAGACTCTTTACTTTCTCTAGGGACCACTCTCCTCTGAGCTGACTCCCCCATCCTCTGCCCTTGGCAGCACCTATTTATTGCTACATTGTCAAGGAGGAACAATCATCCCACAAGGCCTCTTCCTGCCAATCTGGTTCTCTTGGGAAAACCACAATAATGGGGAAGGAAAAGGGGGAAAAAGAGTTTTTTTCACTTCCCATGATAGGGTAAGGTAGACTCTTCCCAGACCCTTAAGAGCCCCAATCCCAGGATCTGATCCTTAGCCCACCTTTTACCAACCCCCCAAACAAATATCCCTGATAGGGAGTGAGAAAAGAAGAAGAGGTGAAAGGCCAATAAGGAAAGGACACGTGGCAAGAAAGATGGACAGGAAAGGAAGAAAAGGAGAGAGAGAAGGACCAAGAGTTACAACTTGTGAGGTGTTGTGTTTGGTTTTTCACTTTTTTTTTTTCTTTTTTTCTTTTTTTTCTTTAAATATAGAAAAACAGCCTTTGGTTTGAATCTCAAGGAAGCAGAGAGTGGGATGGCTGTGGCCCCGGGCAGGGAGCTCTTTGTAGAAAGAGACCTTCACTTGCAGTGGAGTTGTACCTCCTCCTGCCCCTTCTCATGAATCCTTGGTTATCCAAATACCAGGGGTCTCTGCAGCAGCCAGGAGAAGAATGCCCCTCCTGCATGTCTGGGAGCTGAGTATAGAAGGGCAGTGAAGAATGACCCCCGGTGAGTTGTACCTACTCCATTCTTGATGGAACAAGGATGGAATGGATGAGGGGCACATATCCTTGCTCATCCTGGGATAATTTTTGGTTACACTGAAAATTAGAAGAGAGAAAAGAGACATCCTTTTCTCCCTGCCACCAATAACAAGAAAGAGCCCACGAGTGCAGGAATGAGAGAGTGAATCCTGCTGGGAAGGAGAGGAAGAAGGCAGCATGACAGAGGGGTTGAGAGACCCCTGGTTATCAGGCAGCTACCCACCAGTTTCTCATAGGATGGGGACTGAAAGAGTCCCTGTAAGCCCATGAAGGTCACTAGAGTGAAGAAGTCTGAGAGGTGGAGGAGAGAAAATATTTTGACCCACACCCTTCCCATGCCCTGGTTCCTAATTAGGCACCTGTGGCTCCCAATGTGCCTTAGACAAAGGGTTGCAGACCTAGCCTTGGCCCCTGAGAATATAAAATGGGGTTACTCCACAGAGAGAAAAGCCACCACTGAGCAGAGCGGCAGGTTGAAGAGACTAGGGTGGTGATGAGGATTGGGCTGGGGACAGGGACGAGCTATATCACATCCTGGAGAGAGATCCTGAAGGTAGGCTTTGGGGAGCTCAAATTCCCAGGGGCAGTCAAGAGGATCCTCAGTCTCACAGTGCCTGGGGAGAATTTCTTCAACCCCTCCTACTTCCAAATGAGGAAATTCTTCATTCATTCAAGAATAGTGCAAGCTGCCTAAAGTGAGAGGGCACAAGAGGTATGGAGTACCAGGTTGAAGGGTCCCAGAGAGGAGATATAATGCCACAGAGCTAAGGTAGGGCCATTGGGAGGTATCAGCATAAAAACTGAAAAATCAGATAAAGGGTGAAGATTAAAGCAAGAAGCTCAAGGTCTCTTAATGTGAAGAGGAGCTTCTGACCCCTGGGGCTATTGGATGCTAGATCCACAAGAAAAAAATTAGGCCTACAGTAGAAGGGAGCTGTGGGCCAGAGGGTGAGGGAGTGGCAAGGGAATGCCATAAATAAAAAAGGCAAAGTCAACTAATTAATAAATAACTCAGTGAATATGCTGAGATGAGAGGAGAAGAGAAAAAGAAGAAACATAAGCAAAAGATCTGTTTCATCACAATGCTTAAATAGGTCAGGGTAGAAAAGAATAGGCAAGGAGAGTCAGGGTTAGGTGTGAAGTCAAGTGGCCAGTGGTGGGGGCTACAATGCAAAACTCCTTGGGGTGTGGTGGGGACAAGGCTAGACACCTATAGTGGGGCAGTGGAGTAGTGGACTAAGGGCAGGGGGAGAGGTCACTAGCCCACCTTATGCTCCCCTCGAACAATGTGGGAAGAAAATTCGTACCGGTCCTGGCTGTGATAACCACAGATGTTGCACTCGAAAGGGTCTCTGAAGCCATGACAGCCCATGTGGATGGTGAACATGACGTGGTCCAGGAAGAGGATGCGGCAGTGTTCACACTTGAAGGCCTTCACTGGCTCACCGCTTTCCCCCACCACCCGAAGCACTTCTTTGGAGGGGCCTGGGGTGCCCCGTAATAACCCCTCCTGTGGCTTGGGGTCCTCTTTGGCATAGGCAGGACTGTGCCGGCCCACCACTATGGTGGGAGGTGGCTGGGGTGGGGGACCTTGAGGGAGAGACACCACCCCCCCAACTCGATCTTCATGGTTGCTCTCTGTGTCCGTGGAATCCTGGCAGCCATTGCTAGGGGATGCCCCAGGATCAGTCAGGGAGCTTCGGGCCCGGTAGAGGAGGGGACCTCCATCACCTAGATCCTCAGGTCCCTCACCTGCTTCTCGGGACCCTGGAAGCTCCAGGCGACCAGGGAGGGGTTGCATCTGGGTGTAGACAGAGCTGATGACAGGAGTGAGTTCTGAGATGCAGTTGGTGGGTGGAAGGCGGAGGGGACGCAGATGTTCTGCACCCACAAAGGCCAGAGAACTTCCAAAGCCAGGTTCCAGGCCATGGTGTGCCACCAACTCCACATCCTTTTCATAGCCACCAGAATTCACATCATAGGGGAGGTCTGAGAGACTGAAGCGCATCTGCTTTTCACCTGTGGAGAAAGATCTCAGCAAGGCTGTCTTTGAATAATTCCTAAGTGCTCCCCAGGATTGCTGGTTTGTTTCTTTTAACCCATGGGGCTGGATATAACATAATCATCATTATTATTGTTTTAATTGTAATTATTATTTGTGGTGCTGAAGATTGAACCCAGGTTCTCACACATGCTAAACATGTGTTTCACCACTGAGCTACACTCCCAGCTGCTTGTAACCTTATTTGTTACACCCCATTTCCTTCCCCCAAGATGGAATGATGAGTGCAGTGTGGTGGGCTCACTCCCTGACTGTAGGCTGTAATTTTAGACAAGTATTATCCTACCTAGCATGAATACTTCTTTCATCACTCTCCATAAAACTCCAGATCCTTAGGGACCTCATGCCAGAGTCATGTGGGGGAAGTACATGCTTACTTCTCCTCCAAGTCTTGCAAGAGCCTACACAGACTGAAGTCCTTCTAGCCTCAAAACCTCAGAGGGCTTGAACTCCCAAACACCTCCCCTTAGGCTACCACAAGTTCTCAACACTGACTCCTTTCCACCCTCTTGAGGTACATCCTTCCTCATTACTTCCCTCCTGGTCTGGGGAAAACTTTTGACACCAGAATTATCAGGTTGTTTTCTTTCCCTAGATCAACCACCAGACCAAAATCTCTGGTCTAATGGCAATCAGAGCTCAGATTTATTTGAGCTATGGCTTTAAGCTATCATCTCCTTTCCAACTGGACTCTTACCTACAAACTTCTGGGGGGTGGAACGCTTGCGTTTGGTGAGGCTGTTGGCTAGACGATCAATGAAAGTTGGCCGATCAGATGATGAGTGCAGCATGGAGTCTGGCACCATATCCAGATCACGGATCTCCTCACCTAGTGGGAAGGAGTGGGGGCAGTAGTAGCTGAGTAGGAGTAGTACTACCTCAAGAAAACCAGTAGGTCAGTAGCCAAGGAGGGTCAGACCTAAAGCCTGGGAAACTATTTACTTTACCCTTCTAAAGCTCATCCCCATATTTCAGACCATTTGAGGATAAGTATACACATTTGACCCTTGATTCTATACTTCTTGTGTTCTCTCCTCTATTAGACTGAAGATAGAGACAACCTTTCACTACCTCTGGATCTCCCTATAGTACCTAACATAAGACCCTACTCTACACTGACGAGGGTACTTAGAATGGGGTGTTTGGAAGACTTAATAGTAGATTTAATGAGGGTAACTGTTTCCCATTTTATATATCTCATCCTTCTGTAGGAGGAGGAACTGGAATCACCCTTGACCTGCAATCCTCTGGATCTTCTCTCAACTCCCCCATAGTACTGCTCAGGGCCACACCTGGTTGGCCAGCCAAAGCTTGGGCTTCAGTGCTTAGACTCTGTAGGTAGTTGTGGCACCGTTCCTTGTGTTCCTCCAGGGTACTCTGCTGTTTGTAGCTCCGGCCACAGTAGTTGCACTTATAGGGCTTGCCCACTGTGGGAGAGGAAACTGTGGAAGATAGACAGCATCAGAGTTACTTCCATGCCCTTGTTCTCAAAATTATCCAGGAGCAAATATACACTGGCATAGGGAGGAAAAGATGTTGCTAAGTTGAATTCTTCTGCTTGTCTACCCTTCTCCAATTTTACCTGTAACAATGGACAGATGGACCAATTTGGGGAAGAGAGACAATGTGCAGCTATGGGAGTGAGGGAATCCTAAGACATACGGCCTCAGACTGGTAATGGGCTTTGATGACCAAGTTGCTGCTCAAGGGAAGTGAGGACCCAAGGCCTTTGTAGGGGAGCAGCAGGCAGGCAAGCAAGCCCCACCCCAGGATCTCAGAGTCTGGGGCCCAGACTGCGGTTTAACCTTTCCATGTGGCAGGCAGGTGTAAGTGCTGTTTATCAGACAAGGGGATTTTTTTTTTTTTTTTTTTCTAACAGACTATGTGCCCTGGTTTGGGGGAAATTGGTGGGCTGGTGTGACAGAAATGAGAGCCCTTAGATCTGCCCTTGTGGGGAGAGGCAGTTTTCATGGACCTTTACTTGTATTTTTACTTCCATCTCTTGCCTGATTTAACTGATTATTTTCTCTTCTGTCTCTCTATACTGAGGTACCTACCGAGAGAGCAGCAGAAGTACCATCAGTGACAAGAAATACTGAAAAAAGAAAAAGAATACAAAAAGAAAGAAGAAAATAAGGGAGAGAGTGAAAAAGAATACCAGTTTTTTTTCGGGAGTGGGGGGAGCTGGGGTTTAATCCGAGGGGGCTTAACCACAGAGCCACATCCCTAGCCTTTTTTTGCATTTTATTTAGAGACAGGGTCTCACTGAGTTGCTAAGGGCTTTGCTAAGTTGCTGAGGCTGGTTTTGAACTCTTGATCCTCCTGCCTCAGCCTCCCAAACTACTGGGATTATAGGGGTGGGACTATGCACTTGGCTTGGGTTTTTTTTTTAAAGAATGGGTTATAAAGACAACTTTTTTTTTTTTGTACCAGGGATTGAACCCAAGTGTTAATCACTGGTATCTTAATCACTGAGATATATCCCCAGTCATTTTTATTTTTTATTTTGAGACAGAGTCTTGCTAAATTGCTTAGGGCCTTGCTAAATTGCTGAGGCTGGCCTGGAACTTGTGAACCTCCTGCCTCAGCCTCCAGAGTTGCTAGGATTATACGGTGTGCCTCCACACCAGCTTAAGGCAACTTTTGAGAGATGATATTTGTGAAAAGAGAAAAAACAGTGAAGAGTACAAGGTATTGTATATTTTATGTTTTTTTGCTTCTATTGAGCAGGGAGACAGGAGAAAATATCTCCTCTCTACAGGAGATACTCACCCCCTACACATGCCTAAGCTGTGCCTTGACTAAATCAACATTTTGCTATTTTGCTCTTGTTCCATAAACCCTAGTGTTTGGGATGAAATGAACACCAGAGTTCCTATCTATCCAACACCCTTGGGGAAATGACTTAACATCTGGGAGAAGAATGATCCTCCAGCCTATTTTTTCTTATGTGTCAACTGTAACAGGAAGCATCTTAACAGAGATGGACTCTGACAGTTTACCTGTCTCCTTTTTTTTCCCTTAACTTCCTTCAGAACAACATCCAAAATCTACCCAGCTGAATTTGTTGGGAAGAATTCTGGGGGCCAAGCCATTCTGGTTTCATAACAGCAGGGGGAGCAACCCATTTCCTGAGAAAAAGGAGCACCTGACACTGGATCTTTTTTTCTTTTTTTCCCTTCAGTATTGAGGATCAAACTCAGGGCCTTGCGCATGTTAAGGCAGATACTCTACCACTGAGTTATACCCCCATCCCTTTTTATTTTATTTTTGAGATAGGGTATCACTAAATTGCTCAGATTGGTCTTGAACTCATGATCCTACTGCCTCAGTCTCCTGAATTACAGGCGTGTGCCATCATACCCAGCTCTGGCACTGATTCTTGATGGGGGTCTAGTCATGCTGCATAAAAACCATATGGCCTGCAACCTCCCCCCCCCCCCACCCCCGGCTTCAGTTCTTTGTCAACAAAATGGGGATAATCACATCTATCTTGTAATTATTATGAGGATTATATGAGGAGACACAAATGAAATGCTCTGTAGATAATAAAGCATGAATCAGTGATGATCTTTCTCTCTATTCCTCCATGTATATAGAGATAAAGAGGTCCCAGTTATAAAGTGGAGAACCTGAAAGAAGGTGGGTAGATGGAGAAAGCAGAAATGATTGCTCTGTCCCTTTAAGTCCTGGCCCAGGAGAGTTTAAGAGAAAAACAGCAAGGAAAGTTTTCGAGGACAGACCCTGCTAATTCTTTCCTCTCTTCCCCTTTTCCTGCATTTTTTCAGTCTTGAGTTCCCTCCTTCCTGCCAGCTAAGTTCCTGGCATCTTCCCAGGTCCAAGCCAAAAGCCCCAAACTTAGTAAAATTTCTGACAAGTACTATTTGTCTAGTTGATTCTGAGATATACTGATTCAAATAGTCTTGATTGATCTAGAAAACCTTGCTGATCTAGTTCCCCAGCACTATTAAATACTGACTCCTAGACACTCTCTAGACTTGCTCCTGACTCTTGGAAAGTGACAGCCTTTTGGGATAGAACAGAAATGGGATACTTGTTTCCTAATTGGAGGTCTGAGGCTCCTTTTTTTTTTTCCAGTTTGGGAGGCCCATGGATATTTACAGGATCCTGTAGGAAGTAGAGGAGAGGATAGACAGTGGTTGCCCAAAAACTTCTGGTGTTATAGATGGCAGATTAAGATGGTGATAAGTGCAAGGCCCAGGGTAAATGGGAATGGGAAGAGGGCTTTCCATGGGCTCAAAAGTGTGGGTGTGGGGCACAGATGGCACTTGCATCATCACAGTCTTTAAAAAACAAAAATCAGAGCGGAGCAAGACCATCCATGCTCCTTTTGTTCCATGTCACACAGTGTGGCAGTAAAATACCTCAACAAAGGGTCCTGCAAATTTCTCATGGGCCCTGCTGCCCAGAGGAAGAGTTAAAGAGGCAAGGCCCTATTTGCTCTGTATGAGTGCTCTCCCCTCCTCAGTGATAGACACTGTAACTCCCGAATACAGAAAAGTCTAGGAGCTCTATTTATTGGGTACGCTCGGGGCCCCACTCTCTCTTCTCCTGCTGGATGGTCACTGACCTGAGTGTGTGCGGAGGTGACCAGTGAGTGCATCACGCCGGCGGCAGGCATAGTTGCAGAAAGGACATTTGAAGGGCTTTTCCCCAGAATGCAGCTTAATATGGCGCAGCAGGTTCCCCTTCTGGGTGAAAGAGGCACCACACTGGTTGCAGTGGAAGGGCCTCTCACCTGCAAGTGAAAGAACAGGTTCCAGAGGGCCGGCATGAAAAATGTCAAAGGTTGAAGATAGTCCCCAACACTGCCAAGGGAAGTTTCACTGAACATATTGCTGAGGGGCAGGAGTGTGCCACACATGCTAATACTGCTTTATCAAGTATTACTTTATCAAGTAATATCCCCTTTGTTTCCTGCCCCTTACCTTTTGTTTTTTTAATAATTATGAGCTAGGAAGGCCCAAATGATACTCAGGAGTCCTATTCCTGTTGGACAAAGGGATCCTTTTTATTCTTTTTTCCTTCTTTCTTCTTCTTCTTCTTCTTTTTTTTTTTTTTTTTTTT